GCCAACATTTAACACACTTCGTCTCAGATGCAGCAGCTTTCTGAACCTCTCAGTGAATGGCGGTGTCGGCGACAGAGTTTTTGAGGCTAGTGGCGAGATGCTCTAGTGCCTCCTGAAAACTCTCCGAATATTTCTGTAAAAAAACATAGCGGTAATAATAGTGATATTCATGGATGCAGATTAACCCTATCATCTAGTTACAGCTTGCCATTTACCGTGGTCCTGATGAATTCGACAATGTAAGCATCATGGGAACAATGGTTGGCATAGTGAGTTAGCTTTCTCAACATGCATACCATTTTTGTACTTGAATATCAAAAAATGTAATCAATTTGCTTGAGTGAGGATGATCGGAAACAATAAGATATTCAAGTTGACCGCTGCTTAAATAACACATTGTCTGGTCAATGATTCTCGATACTAATACCATGCCTAAAAACCTAAATTATTTACCACCCTTAAGTATGCTATATATGTGTCACCATTAAAATTATAGAGCAAGTTGTGTAAGCACATTTGCCATGATTTTAGGCAAATCAAGTGCTCATATTAATTTTAACAGCTTAACATTATTAAAGGGACAGTAGCCTTTAGGATTCACTGCATACCAATGTATTAGCTGTATACACAAATCGTCTATACCCACTACCGTATTTGTTACGCAAAATACTTAATAATTTTAATTGTTATATATTATTTACACATCAACCTAGAAATTTGAAGGCGCCATGACACCGCCGCGACCGGTGCTAGCCACCCTCCCAGCCCGAATAAAGTTGCGTATTTGAAATTTATTTTGCAGGTACAGAGCGCGAGGGCGTAATCACAAAAGTGCAATTATATTTAGTACCTAAATGCTATTTAATGAAACCCATACTATTCATTTTAAGGCAAAGTTTATCCATAATTATAACCTGAAACTATATGTCGTTTATAAGATATTCAATCCTTTTGCTTTTAATGAATAAATAAGACAACACCTCGGTCTCGTAGCCTTGGCCTGGAAAGTTGGTTTTGCGGTCAACTTCGTGCAGATCGTGGCGCTATTGAGTGCGAGCCACCGTCGTTGTAATCAATGTAGTCGTTAGTTTTTAAAAACATTTTTAATAATATTTTCTAAATGCGTGATTTGGGAAGCGCATGGAAACTTTTAGCAGCGTAAGTTATAACCTAAATTAGCTGAAAATTAACCCTAGATACCTAGAGTAAACTCTGCCCTTTAAAACATGTGCATAAAATTCTAACCTGTTGCTTAAAATGTCTTATGCTATATGCACGGATGCCTCCTCTCCATCTGGCCTTGGCCCCGCCAAAAATCTCTTGTCTGCTACTGGCCGTAATATCTATGTGCTGCTGTCATTCCGTTGGCTTCAACAGTGACTTCAATCTCGCGGGCTATTCCCGCCTCCACATCTTTATAGCAGCAGCGTGTTGGTAAGTTATATATAAGCCCCCAGCATTCCGACACAAAGTCACTAGCATGGTGATGCACTAGGCGCCGTACCTTGGACTCTCAGTCAATAGGCCTGCCAAAGTTAAATTAGTCACAACCATTAGTAGTTGACATAAGAACAATTGCAAACTGTTGTGTTATCACAAAACTTTACCATTTTCAACCTAAATTGAATATGTATTAAAATAATGCTAAGTGTTCCGCTTGACATAATATCAAAAACCTGCACATTTAAAAGAATAATTTCACAGCATGAATGCATTTATTCATACCGCCCCCTCGCTCCTCCAACATACTGTAGGGCTGCGCATCAGCCCATCTGCTGAGCTAAGAGCTCGTGACCTTAATGCGACCCCATATCAGGCTCTCTTTTAGGTCTGAGATTCACCCCCTGTGAAGGAATACAATAAGATAATGTTTGCATAGTTTTGGCCTGGCATCTTATTCCTGTATATTAGTATCCCATCGATATCAAAAGCGTGCGCTCTAGTACAGTGCAACCAGGTGGTGTTTACATGTAAATCATACCGGGCGTGCTCACGCACGAGGCAGAGGCCCCAGAACACATGTCCCTTAACCTTATGAAAGTGAAACACTAAAATAAGGAGAAAATATTAAACCAGAACACAAGTCACACATTTTAGCCCAATGCACCAATGACATACCATAACAACTCAAATCTCTCAACAACACACTGCAACACCAATCGGCCCTTTACATCGTACACCACGCTGGTCCTTCCAGTTGTGCTGAACCCGCATCTCTCTCTTTCTCCATGGCATCTTCCTCTAAGTGAACCATCGCAGCAGGCTAAAGTCACTAGAGTCAACTCTGCCACGGCTTTCAAATGTGACCATAGTCTCTGTAAAGCTGTACTAGATCTGCGAGGCTAAGGAAACATAAGGCCCGACGTCACCCCCAATCCTCAAAGTCTGTATCAACAATTATCTATTGTATCCTCATGAATAACCAGAATGGTAATGCCAATATAAAATACCCTGTGTAAGAATGACAAATATTGTACAGATGCCTTAATCTGAATGTTAATAGAAATTACACTAATATAATAAGTATATTGTCAGAGTTATGCTGCTCCATTCAGTCTACGTACACCCTCCAAAACAATATATAGGAGCATACCTGGTTTCATTCTTCGGTCTGCCGAAACGTGTGGATGTGATCTGTAGCCTGTTCAATCAGCATCTCATTAAACCAAAGATAATTAAGTGCCCTCTGTTCGTGCGGCTTAATAGGCATCACCTGATGATAGCCTGCAAGTCCGGGCTGACACCACAAATCGACTCCTGGGGAAGAAAATGCTATGTCTTCAACTATTACTAGCACTTTCAATTTTGGCAAACACCTTACTATTTAACTGAATGAGGTTGTAGTGAAAAACGTCCATGCAAGATATACCTTATCAATCGGATGCAAATTCTCTATGGTAAGCAAGTTTAAGATCATCCACGTTATGTCAAACAAGACCGCTGTTAGCTTGACACTCCTATAGAATGGACACTTATCTATAAAGGACTGGCCAGTTTGTCAGACATTTGCCAATTTATACAGTAGAATCCCTTCTACAAAATTAACTTCATATCTACAAACTATTTCTTTGAGGTTTATTGAGTAACCTTATGTACAAATTTGACTGTATTAAAATAAATTTTTGTTAATCAAACCTGCTGCCTTTGTCAAGCTTGGCCTTCAGTGACTGGATTGTTTCCTTAGGCGCTTGCAAGCTCAAACTCTAATGCGGATTAAATAACACATTATTAATACTAAAGCATATGTTTTTCGTCACTAAACTGATTGATTATTGCTTAGCTACACATATCTCTAACAACTTGGACTAGTCTGCTAGTCTTGACATAAAACTGGTCATACCAGTTTATTAATATCATGAAAAGATTGGATCCATTTTTGTGTTTTTAATTTGCCTTAAAGGCCTTTAATATACTAAAGATTGCTTATATGAATGTAGGCTCTTTGATGAGCTTGCCAACGTAGCTTTTACTGTAAAGAATCAAGTGGTTTGTACTGACAAGAGAAATCAGTCATTTCGAACCTGCGAGACGTTCATCGTCTGGCTTCTCCCGTCGTCTGAATATCGGCCAAAATCAAGTGAATCTAATGTTGAGCACTCGCTGTTCTTTCTGCAATTAGAAATGAATAACCCGTGCTGGCTTTCTGAAATTTTAATGTACTTCTCTAGTTACAATGATAATTATTATAATATCTACTATATTAGTCACGATCTAAACTTTCTACACTGAAACTAAACTTCACGTTGCGTGTGGAAACCCATGGAGAAACGTGAACCAGTTGTTTTGGCCTAGTCTAGGAGGTAAAAACTTTGGTTTTTATTAATGACTTGGTCACCTGTGTACAGTCATATCTAGGACTCTATTATAGGTGATTCCTGTGCACTTCAATCTGCCACTTAATGGAAAACCTTTAGCATTCCTGATATCTTTCTTTCATGTCAGTTAATGTTGGCTGAATAAAATCATTTTCATCGCCCTGTTCTGTTATGGGAAGGTATCCTGTTGGTCTAGCAGCTAAATGTCTGACTGTGAACTATTACGCTCTTATCTCAGAGAGATAGATGCAACATAATTTAACAGGAGACCCAGGATTCCAGGAAGCACCTCTGGGATGTGTATGACTATCATAGAGCACTCAGTGCTACTCAACTGTCCATCAGTACATGGTAATTATATCAATATTTAGCTAAACAAGTGAGAAATTTGTTGCGTGTGTAAATAAGTACTAGGGCAGATAAAAATGTAGTGTGTTGTGGTCGCTGTGTTCAACAATACTTTTACTCTTAGAGCTGGATTAAGGTGGGTTGATGACTATGTTGTGATTATGGTTCATGATACAATTATAATAGATTACAATTAAAGTTAGATTACGATTGGCGCCTGGTTAATATTAGCTATAGGTGTTAGGCTCTTAGGATAGCCACAAGTTACCTTCTTGCCTCTTCGTTTCTCACAACATGTAATAGTCGTAGACTCGTAGAGCGTGGTGCGGCATGGATAATTTATGCTTGTGCGACGATAAACTGGGGTACTTTTAGCAGGTACACGCACACTCAATCGTTAGCCATCGTTATGATGTCAAACTGTATAGCATGTGACTGTTTACTAACCCGGTAACCGGTCTGTTTAGTCTTTCGCCACGCCATGGCAGACAGAGCCGGGGCTGGACTTGGCCGCAAATGCAGACGTTATAACTCCGCTTTGCGTATCTGAGGGTGCGTGTTTAACCCATTACTGAGGTCGCGCGCTCGGACTAGGGCTGCGACCGTGGACGTATGCGGGAGCAAAGCAAACACAGCCTCACAGGTCAACCGCCAGCTAGTGTCATTGTAATGCAAAACATACCTGCTGAACTGACAACTGTTTACTGTGTGTTATGACTGTATTATTGCTAGTGTACCACAGTATAACAACACTTACGGATGCCTGCACCCGGAGTAAGCTCATACTTGGTCACGGTCTGCTGTTCAAATTCCCCGGATTTGAGAGAAGTATCTCTCAATCTTGGTAACTCCGCGCCGGATTCCAGAAGTTCCGTGTGCAACTCTAATGCAGTCAACCATAATTTCTCTGCCGCAGTAATTTTGCCGCAATACTATCTAGAGCAACCTCATCATCCTGTACTGGTTCTATTATTCGTAAAAGAATCTCCTTCAACTGATTTTCGATGAAATCCTCATCGGCAGCACTAAATTCTGCCATGTTTATACAGTACTACCGCCTCTAGCAGAGAAATTGTAAACAAATGTTGGAAGATGTATGTGTGGTCGGTCATAGGTCGGTCTACTCAGAACCCGCTTATCGTTATAATTGAGTTATTACTTTACGAATGGATAATCAACAATTTAAGTTCGTCATTATTGGTGGCGGTATAGCAGGAGTAACATGCCACAGAAACACTTTCACAGCTCCTTAACGATATTAGTGACTTTGAAGATCGCGAGTCAATTTTACTCGTCGCTGGATCGGCTCTTGTGAAAACGGTCACAAACTTCAAACAAGTATCTAGAACACTTGAAGATTTTCAGGTACATGTAATGTATTATAAAATATCCATCATCCTGAGGGTATATATTGTTCATTGTATATAAATGATGCAATGTGTTTTCTCGCAAATGCGCAGGTTGAACAGCATGCTCATTTTCAGCATTGCTACATTGTATTTGCAGTAAATAGATCATAGTTACAGATCTCCCCTTTGGCGGTTGTCCTCTTTTTCCTTGGCTTACCAACTGGTGTATTTACATTGTACATTTTAGTAGAGTCAATTTTTCAGGTCGAGAGAAACAACCCGACTGGATAACACAAACATGTCCAAATGTGAAGGTTGCGAGAACCGAAGTTGTCTGCCTCGACTCTGCAAAGCACACAATCTACACATCCGACGACAAGTGTTACCGCTATGAAAGGCTATGCATAGCCACGGGTGCAAGCCCAAAACTTATCGCAGAGAAATGCCATTAGTGCTTGGCATTCGCGAGACACCGAGTCAGTCAGCGTATTTCAAAGCCGCTTGTCTGGCGCTAGAAGGGTCATGTTGTCGGCAACGGAGGAATCGCCTCAGAACTTGTGTACGAAATAGAGCACTGGCGGTGTTATCTGGGCGATAAAAGACGACAGCATCAATCACTTTTCCTAGATGAGAGTGCAGCAGCATTCATGCTCACTCATGTCACGAACGTAAGCAGAATGCGACTCTGCAACGCCATCGAAGCGAAGGACGTACACGCTAGATAAAGCTAGGCAGGCCGCAGTGACACGTACAAGTGGCAGTGCCTTGGCACCCGACTGGCATTCAGGATTAGAAGTGACAGGAGCCGAACCAGCCATTCTCTCGTAACCGTACACATCGAGATCGAATTGTGAAGTGCAAGAGTTGTTAACACCAGAGGGCGTCGGTCTCCGCAACATCGTGGTTGACCGTTTGCAGGGCGAGGAACCACAAACGCAGTGGCCCGCATACGTAAAGAGCTGACAAACGGCAAGTGTTTCGCTGCGACCTCGTGGTCAGCGCTACGGCGTGACTCCGAACACGGCTCCGTTCGTCAAGGGCGTCCGTTCAAGGTCGCCGAAGACGGAGGACTTCTGGTGGACGAACCATATGCGGACAAACGTCGTCGGCGTCTACGCAGCCGGCGACGTGTGTAAGCTGTAAACTGGCCCCTGTTAAACACTGGCTGCAGATGCGCCTTTGTCGCAGCCCGACAGATGGGTCACTATGCTGCGAAGTGCATGCTGGCAGACTACCAGGAGGAGGCCATCGAGAAAGACTTCAGCCTGGAGACCTTCGCGCACATGACCAATTTCTTCGGCTTCAAAGTTGTGGGCTGATTGGAGGTTTCAACGCTCAGGGTTTGGGAGTGGAAGAGTCACGAGTTATTATTGCGCATCAGCCCGGAAAGAGTACGTGAAAGTCGTGCTTCAGGACGGTAAAATGGTAGGCACTGTTCTGATAGGGGCAAACGGATCTCGAGGAGACGCTTCGAAAACCTCATAATAAACGAGATGGACTTGACAGACTACAAGGAGACCTGTTGGATGCAAATGTTGATATTGCCAGATTACTTTGACTAGGATTTGTAAAAATGCAGCTGTTTAGCACACTTGTAAGTTTGAAGATGGTCTCCATGTACTTCTAATAATATACTGTGAAATAGTATTCAATGATGGACTATACATTTGGACTATTTTTAGCTCATCTGACATAGTCAGATGCAGCTTGTAGAATCGCATGACCGTCCGTCCGTCCGTCCGTCCGGTCGTCCGTCCGTCCGTCGTCAACAGTTGGGCACAAATCTTAACGCTCGACGTACCGGTCACGATATTTCGGGTCGTTGGGGGGATCGTCAAAACGAGTTGGGATGTCGAAGCTGGCGGTCAAAGGTCAAAGGTCAAGAGGTGTAAAAGAAGGGGGAACATTCACTCCTTAACTTAAGGTATAGGGAGGAAATGCATAATTGCGGCACAAATCTAAACGGCTGCGACCTAGGCTCGTGATAGTCGGTGTATAGCATCATGGTAGGAAAAGCCATCACCTGTGCCGAAATTGGAGTCAGCAGGTCAAAGTGCAATGGGCACAGGGCGAGATTTTAGACATTTTCTGAGGACATGGTCTGACGGAGCGATTGAAAAACTTTTTTGTTTCAGCGGTGACCTAGCATTTTTATGGTCTTATTGAAAGGACATGAAATGTCCCTTCTGCTGACATGCGAAGAGTAAGTGTCGGATAACCTTTTGACCCTCAAGAGGAGGTTAAACATGGATTTGTTGACTGTTAACAAAGGAGTGAACTGCTTTTGCTATTAGAGCCCCTCCCCACCCCTCTCCCCCCACCTCCCCCTACCCTCAGCATCTGCGATATGTGGGCGTGTCCTAACAATGATGCGTACGCAACTGCGTGTCTGCATATGCGTGCGCCTAACAAAATATTTAATATAATTTACTTGCAACAAACCCATTAATGTGTAGATTCGTGTGTGTGTCATGACTAGTAGTCACATGTGTAATACGTTTTTTCCTAAAAACAAAACAATGCAGTAAATGCTCAATTCTGTTACACCACTGTTTTTAGCTCATCTGACATAGTCAGATGCAGCTTGTAGAATCGCATGATCGTCCGTCCGTCCGGTCGTCCGTCCGTCCGTCCGTCAACAGTTGGGCACAAATCTTAACCGCTCGACGTACGGTCACGATATTCGGGTCGTTTTGACGATCCCCCCCCCCAACGACCCGAATATCGTGACCGTACGTCGAGCGGTTAAGATTTGTGCCCAACTGTTGACGGACGGACGGACGGACGACCGGACGGACGGACGGACGGACGGTCATGCGATTCTACAAGCTGCATCTGACTATGTCAGATGAGCTAAAAAAAGTCCAAATGTATTACATCATTGAATACTATTTCACATGATATATTAGAAGTACATGGAGACCATCTTCAAAACTTCAAGTGTGCTAAACAGCTGGCATTTTTACAAATCCTAGTCAAAGTAATCGGCAATATCAACATTTGCATCCAACAGGTCCTCCTTGTAGTCTGTCAAGTCCATCTCGTTTATTATGAGGTTTTCGAACGTCTCCTCGAGATCCGTTTCCCCTATCAGAACAGTGCCTACCATTTTACCGTCCTGAAGCACGACTTTCACGTACTCTTTCCCGGGCGTGATGCGCAATAATAACTCATACTCTTCCACTCCCAAACCCTGAGCGTTGAACCTCCCAATCAGCACAACTTTGAAGCCGAAGAAATTGGTCATGTGCGCGAAGGTCTCCAGGCTGAAGTCTTTCTCGATGGCCTCCTCCTGGTAGTCTGCCAGCATGCACTTCGCAGCATAGTGACCCATCTGTCGGGCCTGCGACCAAAGGCGCATCTGCAGCCAGTGTTTAACAGGGGGCCAGTTTACAGTACACACGTCGCCGGCTGCGTAGACGCCGACGACGTTTGTCCGCATCCGTTCGTCCACCAGAAGTCCTCCGTCTTCGGCGACCTTGAACGGACCGCTCTTGACGAACGGAGCCGTGTTCGGAGTCACGCCCGTAGCGCTGACCACGAGGTCGCAGCCGAAACACTTGCCGTTTGTCAGCTTTACGTATGCGGGCCACTGCGTTTGTGGTTCCTCGCCCTGCAAACGGTCAACCACGATGTTGCGAGAACCGACGCCCTCTGGTGTTAACAACTCTTGCACTTCACAATTCGATTCGATGTGTACGTTACGAGAGATGGCTGGTTCGGCTCCTGTCACTTCTAATCCTGAATGCCAGTCGGGTCCCAAGGCACTGCCACTTGTACGTGTCACTGCGGCCTGCCTAGCTTTATCTAGCGTGTACGTCCTTCGCTTCGATGGCGTTGCAGAGTCCGCATTCTGCTTACGTTCGTGGACATGAGTGAGCATGAATGCTGCTGCACTCTCATCTAGGAAAACATGATTGATGCTGTCGTCTTTTATCGCCCAGATAACACCGCAGTGCTCTATTTCGTACACAAGTTCTGAGGCGATTCCTCCGTTGCCGACAACCATGACCCTTCTAGCGCCAGACAAGCGGCTTTGAAATACGCTGACTGACTCGGTGTCTCGAATGCCAAGCACTAATGGGCATTTCTCTGCGATAAGTTTTGGGCTTGCACCCGTGGCTATGCATAGCCTTTCATAGCGGTAACACTTGTCGTCGGATGTGTAGATTGTGTGCTTTGCAGAGTCGAGGCAGACAACTTCGGTTCTCGCAACCTTCACATTTGGACATGTTTGTGTTATCCAGTCGGGTTGTTTCTCTTCGATCTGAAAAATTGACTCTACTAAAATGTACAATGTAAATACACCAGTTGGTAAGCCAAAGAGAAAAAGAGGACAACCGCCAAAGGGGAGATCTGTAACTATGATCTATTTACTGCAAATACAATGTAGCAATGCTGAAAATGAGCATGCTGTTCAACCTGCGCATTTGCGAGAAAACACATTGCATCATTTATAATACAATGAACAATATATACCCTCAGGATGATGGATATTTTATAATACATTACATGTACCTGAAAATCTTCAAGTGTTCTAGATACTTGTTTGAAGTTTGTGACCGTTTTCACAAGAGCCGATCCAGCGACGAGTAAAATTGACTCGCGATCTTCAAAGTCACTAATATCGTTAAGGAGCTGTGAAAGTGTTTCTGTGCATGTTACTCCTGCTATACCGCCACCAATAATGACGAACTTAAATTGTTGATTATCCATTCGTAAAGTAATAACTCAATATAACGATAAGCGGGTTCTGAGTAGACCGACCTATGACCGACCACACATCACATCTTCCAACATTTGTTTACAATTTCTCTGCTAGAGGGCGCTAGTACTGTATAAACATGGCAGAATTTAGTGCTGCCGATGAGGATTTCATCGAAAATCAGTTGGAAGGAGATTCTTTACGAATAATAGAACCAGTACAGGATGATGAGGTTGCTCTAGATAGTATTGCGGCAAAATTACTGCGAGAGAAATTATGGTTGACTGCATTAGAGTTGCACACGGAACTTCTGGAATCCGGTCGCGAGTTACCAAGATTGAGAGATTACTTCTCAAATCCGGGGAATTTTGAACAGCAGACCGTGACCAAGTATGAGCTTACTCCGGGTGCAAGCATCCGTAAGTGTTGTTATACTGTGGTACACTAGCAATAATACAGTCATACACACAGTAACAGTTGTCAGTTCAGCAGGTATTGTTTTGCATTACAATGACACTAGCTTGACGGTTGACCTGTGAGGCTGTGTTTGCTTTGCTCCCGCATACGTCCACGGTCCAGCCCTAGTCCGAGCCGACGCAGACCTCAGTAATGGGTTAAACACGCACCCTCAGATTAGCAAAGCGGAGTTATAACGTCTGCATTTGCGGCCAAGTCCAGCCCCGGCTCGTCTGCCATGGCGTGGCGAAAGACTAAACAGACCGGTTACCGGGTTAGTAAACAGTCACATGCTATGACAGTTTGACATCATAACGATGGCTAACGATTGAGTGTGCGTGTACCTGCTAAAAGTTACCCCAGTATTATCGTCGCACAAGCTAAAATTATCCATAGCCCAACCACGCTCTACGAGTCTACGACTATTACATGTTGTGAGAACGAAGAGGCAAGAAGGTAACTTGTGGCTATCCTAAGAGCCTAACACCTATAGCTAATATTAACCAGCTAGGCGCTAATCGTAATCTAACTTTAATTGTAAATCTATTATAATTGTAACATGAACCATAATCACAACCTAGTCATCAACCCACCTTAATCCATGGCTCTAAAGAGTAAAAGTATTGTTGAACCACAGACCAACACACTACATTTTTATCTGCCCTAGTACTTATTTACACAGCAACAATTTCTCACTTGTTTAGACTAAATATTGATATAATTACCATGTACTGATGGGACAGTTGAGCTAGCACTGAGTGCTCTATGTAGTCATACACATCCCAGAGTGCTTCCTGGAATCCTGGGTCTCCTGTTAAATTATGTTGCATCTATCTCTCTGAGATAAGAGGTAATAGATTCACAGTCAGACATTTAGCTTGCTAGACCAACAGGATACCTTCCCATAACAGAACAGGGCGATGAAAATGATTTTATTCAGCCAACATTAACTGACATGAAAGAAAGATATCAGGAATGCCAAAAGGTTTTCCATTAAAGTGGCAGATTGAAGTGACAGGAATCACCTATAATAGACGTCCTAGTATGACTGTGACACAGGTGACAAGTCATTAATAAAAACCAAAGTTTTACCTCCTAGACTAGGCAAAACCAACTGGTTCACGTTTCTCCATGGGTTTCCACACGCAACGTGAAGTTTAGTTTCAGTGTAGAAAGTTAGATCGTGACTAATATAGTAGATATATAATAGATTATCATTGTATTACTAAGAGAAGTACATTAAAATTTCAGAAAGCCAGCACGGAGTTATTCATTTCTAATTGCAGAAAGAACAGCGAGTGCTCAAACATTAGATTCACTTGATTTTGGCCGATATTCAGACGACGGGGAAAAGCAGACCGATGAACGTCTCGCAGGTTCGAAAATGACTGATTTTCTTGTCAGTAAAACACTGATTCTTTACAGTAAAAGCTACGTTGGCAACTCATCAAAGAGCCTACATTCATATAAGCAATCTTTAGTATATTAAAGGCCTTTAAAGCAAATTAAAACACAAAAATGGATCAATCTTTTCATGATATTAATAAACTGGTATGACCAGTTGTTATGTCAAGACTAGCAGACTAGTCCCAAGTTGTTAGATATGTGTAGCTAAGACAATAATCAATCAGTTTAGTGACGAAAACATATGCTTTAGTATTAATAATGTGTTATTTAATCCAGTATTAGAGTTTGAGCTTCGCAAGGCTAAGGAAACAATCCAGTCACTGAAGGCAAGCTTGACAAAGGCAGCAGGTTTGATTAACAAAATTTATTTTTAATACAGTCAAATTTGTACATAAGGGTTACTCAAATAAACCTCAAAAGAATAGTTTGTAGATATGAGTTAATTTTGTAGAAGGGATTCTACTGTATAAATGGCAAATGTCTGGCAAACTGGCACAGTAGTCCTTTATAGATAAGTGTCCATTCTATAGAGGTGTCAAGTAACACGGTCTTGTTTGACAATAACGTGGATGATTCTTAAACTTGCTTACCATAGAGAATTTGCATCCATTGATAAGGTATATGTTGCATGGACGTTTTTCACTACAACCTCATTCAGTTAAATAGTAAGCGTGTTTGCCAAAATTGAAAGTGCTAGTAATAGTTGAAGACATACATTTTCTTCCCCCAGAGTCGGATTTGTGTGTCAGCCCGGACTTGCAGGTATCATCAGGTGATCCTATTAAGCCGCACGAACAGAGGGCACTTAATTATCTGGTTAATGAGTATCTAATGAACAATGGCTACAGACTCACATCCATCACGTTTGCAGACGAAAATGAAAACCAGGTATGTCCTATATATTGTTTCAGGGTTGTACGTAGACTAATGGAGCATAACTCTGACAATATACTATTATATTAGTGTAATTTCTATTAACATTGAGATTAAAGGCATCTGTACAATAATTTGTCATTCTTACACAGGTATTTTATTATTACATTCCATCAGTTATTCATGAGGATACAAATAGATCATTGTTGATACAGGACTTTGAGGATTGGGGTGACGTCGGCCTTAATGTTCCTAGCCCTCCAGATCTAGTACAGCTTTACAGAGACTATGGTCAACATTTGAAACCGGTGCAGAGTGACTCTAGTGACTTTAGCTGCATGGTTCACTTAGAGGAAGATGCCATGGAGAAAGAGAGAGATGGGTTCACACAACTGAAGGAGCAGCTGGTAAGATGTAAAGGCATTGGTGATGTATCCGTGTTTTGAAGAATTTGATTGTATGTATGTCATTGGTGCATTGCTAAAATGTGTGACTTGTGCTTCTGGTTTAATATTTCTCCTTATTTTAGTGTTTCACTTTCATAAGGTAAGGGGACATGTGTTACTGGGCCTCTGCAGTACACGTGTATGATTTACATGTAAACACACACCTGTTGACTGTACATCAGAAGCCACCTTTTGATATCCATGGATACTAATATACAGGAATAGATGCCAGCCAAACCTATGAAACATTATTTATTGTATTCCTTCACAGGAGGGTGAAATCTCAGACCTAAAAGAGCAGCTGATAATGGTCACTAAAGGTCACGAGCTCTTAGCTAAGAGCATGGCTGATGCAGCTACAGAGTGGAGGGAGGAGGGGTATGAATAATGCATTCATGCTCTGAAATTATTTTTTAAATGTGCATGGTTTTGATATTACTCAAGGGAAACTGCATTATTTGGTACTACATATCCAATTTAGGTTGAAATGGTAAAGTTTTGTGATAACACAACAAGTTTACAATTTTCTTTATGTCAACTACTAATGGTTGTGCTAATTAACTTTGCAGGCTATTGACTGAGAGTCCAAGTACGGCCCTAGTGCAATCACCTGCTAGTGACTTTGTGTCGAATGCTGGCTTATATAACTTACCAAACGTGCCTGTGATACAAGATGTGGAGGGGGATAGCGAGATTGAAGTCACTGTTGAAGCAACGGATGACCAGCCAATAGATATACGCAGTACAGAAAGAGATTTTGCGGGGCAAGCAGATGGAGAAGAGGACCATGCATATAGCATAGACATTTTAAAAGCAAACAGGTTAGAATTTTTATGCACATGTTTAAAGGGAGAGTTTACTCTAGGTTCTAGGGTTATTTTCAGCTAATTTAGGTTATAATTACGCTACATAAAAAGTTTCATGGTTCAATCACCATTAGAAATATTATTAAAAAATGTTTTAAAACTAACGACTACATTTGATTACAACGACGGTGGCTCCACTCAAAGCGCACGATCTGAGAAGTTGCGCAAAACCACTTTCCAGCCAAGGGCTACAGACCGAGGGTGTTTCTTATTTATTCATTTAAAAGCAAAAGGATTGTAATATCTTATAAACGACATATAGTTTCAGTTATAATATGGATAAATTGCCCTAAAATGAATATCGTTCGGTTAAATAGCATTTAGGTATAAATATAATTGCACTTTTGTGATTAGCCCTCGGTCTGTAACCTGCAAAATAAATTGTCAAATACGCAACTTTTTCGGGGTGGCAGCACGGTCGCGGGTGTCATGGCGCCGTTCAAATTTCGTAGCGTTGATGTGTAAATAATTATAACAATTAAATTAAGTATTTGGTAACAAATACGTGTGGGTATAGACGATTTGTTATACAGTAAGTACAGTTGTATGCAGTAAAATCCTAAAGGCTACTGTCCCTTTAATAATGTTAAGCTGTAAAATTAATATGCACTGATTTGCTAAAATATGGGAAATGTGTCTACACAACTTGCTCTATAATTTTTAATGTGGACACATATAAGTACTTAAGTGTGGTAATAATTAGGTTTTTAGGCATGGTATTAGTATCGGAATCATTGACCAGACATGTGTTATTTCTAAGCAGGTCAACTTGAATATCTTATTGTTTTCGATCATCCTCACTCAAGCAAATATGATTACATTTTTGATATTCAAGTACAAAATGTATTGCATGTGAAAAGCTAACCCACTATGCCACCATGTTACCCATGATGTTACATTGTACGATTCATCAGGACAGTGAAAATGCAAGCTGTAACTAGATGTAGGGTTAATCTGCCATCCATGAATATCACTATTATTACCGCCTATGTTTTTTTACAGAAATATTTCGGAGAGTTTTCAGGAGGCACTAGAGCATCTCGCACAGCCTCAAAAACCTCTGTCGGACAACCGCATCACGACAGAGGTTCAGAAAGTGGCTGCATCTGGAGACGAAGTTGTGTTAATGTTGGCACGCTGTCTGCCTTATGTCATACCTAATATTCTGTTGAATAAACGGGAGGTAAGATATAAAACCAATAGGCCAAATTCAACTTCAAGTTGACACAGCGAGCAGGTGTGCTGGCCATATAGATTTATTGTAAAGACATAATGCAATTGTGAGGAACGTTTATGACCTGACACGAACATAACTATTATTTTATTTCAAGAGGAATATGAAATCATAGTGTTAAGTCGCACTGATTCTGTTATTCACAATAATCTTCGGCCTTCCTTTGAACCAGGCACTTGCAGGCCATGTCGCAGATGATAATAATGGCTCGTCACATTTTGGTTTTCGTAGGAGTTACTCCCATTGATTCTCTGCACGGCCAGCTTGCACCCAGTCTCAGACGAGAGGGATAAACTTCTCAATTTACTCTTCAATCTCATTAAGAAACCCGATGAAGACCAACGGTATTGTATATGACAGTCCAGCAGTAATCACTTGAACTTAATATTAATGTCATTGTGCTGCCATCTACTGACAATAATGTCAAACTATGAAATGCTTAGTGGATGTAATAACAACGTTTTCATTCGCAGGCATACGATCCTAACGGGTTGCGTTACGTATGCGCATATAGTGGGACCAACACGTGCTGAGACTGAGCTGTTGCCTCAGTGCTGGGAGCAGGTATGAAGTACATTGAGAGCTACATTTATATATGACTGGCTCAAACTTTCAGTGCAGTTCGAGATGACTAAATTAGGTTTCTTAAAATTTACTACAATAATTATGTGAACCGGTCCAATGTCCAAGTGTAAAAAGACTACATCGAACACTGTCATCATCATTTTATAGAAGGTAATCTTGGGGTATTAATTTATTTTCAACCTATGTTATATCTGATAAGTAGAAGGTATGTAATATGAAAATTTGCCTGGTGTTTCAGATAAACCATAAATTACCCGAACGAAGGTTATTGGTGGCAGAGGCGTGTGGGGCACTGACACCTTACTTACCTGTAAGTAATGATGCCTAACTTACCAGTAAATTATGATGCCTAACTTAACAATAAGTAAGTAAAAATAGTTGCATTAAAGTTTTTCAAACAATACTTGCCCGTGACTATCTCGTGCAAGATTTACTCGTAATTATACTTGACATATGCCAAGCACATGATGCTGTACTTGGCTATACGTATCTGACATTCTACTTCTAAGTGTTCAGCACCGTAATTAATGATGCTCCACAGACAGTGATAAGGAGCTCTCTGGTGCTGTCGATGCTGCAGCAGATGCTGGAGGATGACAAGACGGATGCTGTGCGGGAGGCTGTCACTCACAGCCTCGGCCTGCTCATGGCCTACATCGATGACGAAGACAAGCACCAGCAGGTACAACTACTGTATATGCCATATTTTTCGTGTACAGATATTTTCGCGAATTCAGACTTGATGGACAATTTTGCGAGTGGTTAATTTCGCGGTCGGTGAATTATGAATTATTCAGTCTTTATTCGGTATGAATTATTTGCGTGTTGTTATTTTTGCGGTCGGGGACGCGTTCGCAAAATTCGCGAAAATTAAACCACTCCGAAATATACAGCGTATACAATATTTTATGCACTTTTATTTTGTCTTGGATGGCTTCATCAATGTGTACAGTGAACGAGGCTTGCTTCGCATGGGTTTCACTCTACGGATTGCACGGCAGCATCCTTCATTAGGGAACATTTATTTACTATAACAGTAGGCAAAATTCGGAATTCACCGCTGCTATCTCAATTACTTCTTTGGATTCAACATTACAGATAGCATTTCGTAGGGATTTTAAAGACCTAATCCCAGTGAATTAGGAGGTCCTTCAACGACACTACGATCCTATATATATATATATATATATATATATATATAGATAGATAGATAGATATAAAATACTAAATCCTGACTACTCACGATATGTAAATTTGTGATTAAAAGTGCCAGGATCTGCTGCTCAAGTTGTTGCTGGATGGTTCAGATAAGGTCTACAGAGCGGCGCTACAGACGTTTCTGCCTTCACTAGCAGCCTGGAGTCTAGAGCTGAACAAGCTGCAGTCTTGCACCATTAGTCGTGTATACGACAAGCTCGAGGAACTGACATCGGTTAGGGCTTTCATTCTCGAAACTCGACCTCAACAGCCTCCGTAATTTCTTCTGCTGTGATGTCGTCGTTGCACATTGCATCATTAATTCATTGCATCGGAATGCCAATCTGATGGATATTTCCTAAATTTTTTGAGCTGAAAGTATTCGTTGATTGGGAAATAATGGCTCGATAAAGGAGTAGCAGTGGGATTTATTCCTCTCTTGTGGAATTTTCCGTTTCAAGTATAGTTTATATGATCATAAAAATATTGGAGTCATCACACAGCTTACTGTTGCAGGGGCCATATCCAACCTCACTAGATGAGACCAGGTTGTGCTTATTACTGGAGTGTCTTAAACGGCTTGTACCTATACTGTTCATGTCAGTACTTCAGTCAGGACCCTACTGTGATAGCCTCCCAAGTGATCCCCCTGAATTAGAAGGTGAGCTAAATACTGTTTCTTATTCTCCTGCCAAATTTGCTATGCTGTGAAGCAGTTGTGCTTAAAACTTCATTGTACATTGTACAAGAAATAATGAGTGAAGCATTCAAGGATATTTTTCCCCGATCAACTGGAAAAATGTATTATTCCTTAGTTGTATGGTTAATGTCTTGTTTATTTGACACTGCAGCCACTTGTCTAACGTCTCAAATTCACACATTCTCACTACAATTGACAATGACATCGCCTCTCCTTTCTATTAGAAAAGGGCAGCTTAATATCCCAGCTACTAGGCGTACTAAGCTACAACGTTACTGTACTAAGATATTGTAAGTACCATTGTCCTTGTTCATTTGTGCTTTACAGTGGGAAGATTCCCAAAGGGTGACTCACCACTGCAGGACTTGTCTGTGATGCTGGGCAGCGATACGCTCGTGTTGTCTCTGGTGGCGGCATACGACCAGACTCTGAGCGAAGAGTGGTTTCAGCCCTGGGCTGAACTCGACTGGGTTTACAGGGAGCTGTAAGTGATACATGGAAAACGTCGAGTTTAGGGGCTTGCTGGCTAAACTTCGTGCATCTGATGATTGCGACGTGAATCTGAAATCCACGTTAGTCTAGTTACTGAGAAAGTGATTGTGACCATCTCATGAGTTTCACGTTGTCACGTGTTCATACAATCACTGTATAGTTTGTAAGCTGGTCATATAGATAAACTGTAGATCTAATAATAAATACACGGGTAATTAATACTGTCATGATAGTCATGTTTGTCTGATAGTCATGTATGATCTTTTTTAACATTTTCATGGTATACAGCCAATATTAGATTTTTTTCTTTTATGCAGCATTCCAAACCAGTTGCAGATGTTGCGGCGGCTAGAAGTAAATCTTGCCAGGACGGTCCATTCCTACTCACAGTTTTTCTATAGCCTGTGTAAAACATTCGGGCGTGCGTTCACAAGGAGCAAGGTAGCTGCATAGAACATCAGTGCTCTATCATTGTCATAGTAATAGCATTAGGAATTTTGGTTGTGTTCACCTGACTATGCGAAAATCTGGCAACAGACCTTTACACTGATTTAAAGGTGAAACAGTTATGCTGAACTTATCTGATTTGCACAAATTCTCAACCATTTAAAAAAATACCAGATTGAAAATAAAGGTGAATATTCATTAAATGTTGCTGCATTATAAAATGTGGGCAATTTCCATTGGCATTTGCAGATTAAGCCGCAGTTTGCCGGACTGATGAAATTATCTGATGAAGAGTTAGGTGTGATATTTTCAATGCTAATAAAGATTGTGCTACCATCTGTATCACACAGCTCATAGTAACTTAGTGTATAGCAGTTTTGGTAAAAAAGTGATTGTTAATGTACCGTACCAATACCTTAAGCATTCCTGAGAGTGTTTAGTGCTAGATTATGAAATATGAATGATATCACACTAACCCATAAAGTGCAATCATGAAATGCCCTCTAATTTAACAGCAGCCATTCTTATATAATTTGTGAAATTATAATGCAAAATGTGTTTTCTATGCAGTTTAGCGGAGTGTCAGGTGATTGGATGACATGCTGTAACTCTCTGCTTGTAGATCAGGTGTCACGTGGAGAGACGGCGCTCACCAGCTGTGTTGTGCCGGTGTATGCGGCCGGTGTCCTTGGCGTCTTCCCGCTGGTGTGTATCTACTGTTGTGTCTCTACTGCATACATAATGAGAAAAAGGTAGCGATCGTGAGATAGGAGATAGATTGGAGGATGGGTGAGTGAGTGAGCGATTTGGTTGGCGGAAGATTGAATGAGGAAACATGTAATTTGGAGGATAGATGAGTGAGTGAGCATGTAGATTGGAGGGAAGTGTGGTAGGGTGTAGATTGGAGAGTGAATGAGTGAGTGTGCATGAAGATTGGACGGTAGATGAGTGAGTGATGCATTATCGAGTTAGAGAGAAAGGGAGACAGAGGGGGAAAGTGAGGAAACGAAGGAAAGGTGGTGGTGGTGTGCATGTGAGTGCATGCGCCCATACACGGGTGAGTGCGTGCTTGCATGCTTGCTTTTATCTGATTGCCTCTGTGTTTGTGGGAGCAATTAAAAGAAAGAAATCTATGGATCTCCTAATCGAAAGTATTATTGTTATGATAAAAATTTCAGGAGGAGGAACGAAAAGAACTTTCCATATTTCTGTTTGATGTACTAGTCATCCTGTGCATGTGCGGAGCACCATTAGACACACTCAGGGCAGCTTTCACCGAAATGTGGTAAGTGCGAGTAAATGTGAAAAGACAATTTTTAGCTCACCTTGACATCGTCAAGCTGAGCTATTGCCATGGGTCGTCGTCCGTCGTACGTCCGTCCGTCCGTCCGTCCATCAACATTTGGCTACGGTCAACGATAACTCAGGATATGATTTATACTATTATTATTATATTATTATTATTATGATATAATGATTTATGCTAAGAAACATCAAAGCGGGTGTAGCGCCATCTACCGTCACAAATTGTGTTTCATTTTTAGCTCATCTGACATAGTCAGATGCAGCTTGTAGAATCGCATGAGCGTGCGTCCGTCAGTCCGGCGGTTTTATAAATTATTTATAATTTATATATTAATATTATTTATTATGTTTACATAAAAAATTAACATATAATTATCAAGAGTATATATTGGAGTTCTCCCATATGTACTGTGTGTCCTTTTTTTGTGGTGAGCTACAGTGTCATTGACACTTTCATTAGTTATGCACTAAGATTACAAAAATTTCTTCAAGACATCGTAGCGTGTTCATTGCACGGTATGATAATGCCATTAGTTTTTATAGATACTTATCCAAGACTTGATAGATGCATGTAAGCAATATATGTGTAAAATATAAGTTTAAAAATATGTGTAGAATAAAATGTAAGATAGATGTGGGCAGCCAGTAGATTATGCCTAACGCTAACCCATTAAACATCAGAGTGTAAATGTTTTTGGTTGACAGCGTGGAGCAGAGCAACCATGAGCTGATCACACCCCATAGATGTGGGCAGCCAGTAGATTATGCCTAACGCTAACCCATTAAACATGTGTGAATGTTTTCGGTTGACAGCGTGGAGCAGAGCACTAACCCATTAAACATGTGTGAATGTTTTCGGTTGACAGCGCGGAGCAGAGCAACCATGAGCTGCTCGTGTCAGTACTGTGGGACGGCGTCGTGCACAAGTCTGCTCAGGTGCGCTGCGGCGCGGCGAAGATGTTCTACCTACTCGTCGGGGGAGTCAGCAATTCTCTGCTGTCGAGCCGGGTCGTACCCGCGCTCGTCACCCTAGCCTCCGACCAAGAAATGTACACCTACCAGATTGCTCATCTTTATACTTTCACATACATGAAAACGTTCTTTTTAACCAAACAACCAAAAAATCTTGTTTGGTTAAAAAGAACTTTTTCATTTATTGGCTTATAACAAACAGATGAACTTAATCAACAATATACTTTCACATATTTTTAATGGTTATCGCTATTCTATTTTACTCTACTCGTGAGTAATGTGAGGACTATTTCTTGTGCGATTAGAATGGGTTGTAATCATGTGAGAACTATTTCCTGTGCGATATAAATGGGTTAATTTTATATCTAATTGAGAAGATAGTGATAGGGGATATTGAAAGTTATTTATAATTCTGAAGTTATCAAGTAGAGAAGGGGTTACTGTCGACATTCTCTTCTAGCTATCCATCGTAAATGATAGCGATTTTAATACTCGCTAATGATTTTCTATGATGTTGTTATATAATTATGTCACCCATGATATGTCATAGTGGCATTTATCACAAATATTGAGGACATTTAGTGTGTAACAATGAATGCATTTATTTAGAAAATTTTAAATCATCAGCTTTCGTATTTCATGCTTACAGGCAAGTTCGTATCTCAACTGTACCAGCTTTTGGAACTGTGATAGAAACAGCCACACAGAGAGAGGTAATCATGGTTGTTGTTATTCAATATACATACATACGTGGGGGGCGTTTGCATTTAATCATGTCTTGGGGCAGCTAAATCTCGTTTGTATTTCTCCCCGTTCCGAGAAGCCGTAAACCAATTGTCACTTATAAACGATAGCTGTCACTTATAAACGATAGCTGTCACTTACTATGCTGTGCAGGTGTGTCTGCATGTACTGAGTATTTTTTTGCTTTGCTGTCCAGGTTGTGGAGAAGGCACACATGCAGTTTCAGGGTTTTCTCGATGATCCCATCTACAAGGATGCGCACGCGATGCATGTCGAGGTTATACATACCCTGAGCCGCATCGGACCTAACACTGAACCAAGGTTCAGGGATGACTGTACGTTAATACTGCATTAAATCCTCATTTATTAAATCACAATTTTACTCTTGTGCCGCGCTAGATAAGGCTGGTGTAGCATGGTCACCATCTCCCATATAGCAAGCATTCCCCTTTTGTATGGGCATGTGTAGCTGGGCGCATGGTGCTTTGTGTGTGTGCATGGGGGATTCTATTTTTATTTCCCATGCATAATATGAGGGGTATACCCCAGTGTATAAGGGGTAGGGACGTTTGTCATAAGAGGGATGTCTAAAATGCTATACCGGTCTTGTATATATTGCTTACTAATAACCGTATGTTTCATTTTCTCCATATGCGATTTGTCCAGATGACTTATCCGGTTCTTAACAAACTGTGCAGACAACTTTACTGCTCAACACTGTAGTTGGCATATTTCTTGACCGGTTTCTTCATCATATAAGTGTTGTTTGTTTGTTATACTGTAGTTTTATGTAAAATGAAGTTGCATCACCCTTGTAAATATCAGCTGTATTCTGCTGCTTCCACTCATGCAGGTCACTCTGTGGTCATTTTCTTACATAGCTCTCTGTGAGGTTATATTTAAAAGCTTTCAGTTTCCATTGTACCTTACTCGTCTAACTGTATGCAAACCGTTTGTTCTCACTGAGCAAATTCAAGAATTTGCACTTGACTGAGCACTCGACCACTGCTACAGTGTGCGTGCTTGATATTGCCACGAACATGTGTATACCTGTATTCATGATATCGTTGACGTCGTGCTTGCCTGGTTGCAGTCATTCTGCCTCGACTAGCCATTCTAGCCGCGAACAACAACCACACGATGAACGAGACGAAGAAGAGAGATGTGGCCATGGTCTTGTTTGAAGCTTACAGTGCACTGTCCTGCTGCTGTATCCTTTTCAACCCGATAGACTCGCGATGAGTTGGCATTTGTTGGAATATGCGCGCGTGGTTGGCTCTCACAGCCAAATGTTCGTCGTTTACCTTTATACATAGTATCTTTTTAAATATCTGTTTGCACAATTAGGCATGTGGTATCATTGATCAACATCATGCATTTGTATTGCCATGATGATTGTTGCACGGTTTTGTTTGTACACATCCCTCTACGTATATACACGTATTTTCTAGTTACGTTTTATTTGGTCGGTCGACACGTGAACCAAACCCCGTGTGTTCCTGAATGCGTTTTCTAAGGCAATGTCGCACATCTTTATGTGATATTCCCATTGCTTAGTGCAGCTGCTACACTAGGGAATTTAATGACACAATGGCATAGGTGTTTGCTATGGTAGTTAGTGATCGTTTATGGCAGTAAAATTAAAACCGGCTCAAGGTGGCAATACCGGTTACATAAAGAAGGTTAGAGAGAGTGACTGAACTACGGGACCGTTCTTATAATACAAATAGCAATAATTTTAATGTATTGAAAGTATTAGATGTAGACACCAATGAGGCAGACGGTTATGGCCTTGGAAGGATTTTCATTTGCTGCTGGGCGGAATGTTGCTAGGTCAGTCCAAAATTGCTAGTGTGTTTTTCATTGGGTTAGGAGTGACGAAGCAAGTTTGCCATTGAGGCCACATTCTCTAACACCTTAGTGACATATTCATCTTGTGTTCGCTGGTGCGTTATGCCGACAGCTGGATGGAATGTTAAAATGACAAATCAGTGCCTAAAGCATGTATAGTTCTGTAGATATACATATATATATATACACACGCATCGCACGCAGCGCACGGCCGCAATATATAGGTAGCATATATATATATATATATATATCAAGAGCTAATAATATCTTATATACTGGTATTATTAGCTCTTGATATATATGTATGTATACACATACATACATACACGCACGCACACACGCATGCATGCACACGCACATAAACCCCAGTACTCGAGCAAAAGGGTTTATGTGTGCTTATTTATATATTTATTTATTTATAGTTGCTGGCTGATTACTAGGCCTAAAGGCACATCAGTGTCTTAATTGTAGCAGAAAGAACTGCAAGAATAACTTCTGCTTTGATCCATGCTAGTGGTGCCCAATTAACTGGTTGACCACATGACCATGAATCCCAAAAGTTTGTGGGTACACGTTGATTTGTCTTGTTAGGTATGTTAGATGCATTTGAGGTTGAAAACAAAATTTGACATGTAAAACGTACAATTGACGTATTGCTGGATTTCAATGATACTGGGGGATTTTCCACGTGTGCATGGAATACGGAATCTAATGTTCTTGTACTGTAGAAGATCTATTGGTCACTGCAATCACTTCCAATGATCTGTAATGAACCTTGAAGGTAGCGTAAGAAACCTTGATCTTGTTAAAGCTAGCATAAACTACATACCAGTAATACCATACATACACGACGATCATTAATTTTCAAAATTCTGCTCAAATTAGGTTGGCAAAAGTTGGAATGCCTAAATAAATTCACATTAAATTATACGTACTTTATAAGCCACTTATAAATTAATTAATAGTTAACAACTTATAGCCTAACAGCTAAGATACATGCCTAACGTTAAGATATAGATAACAGTAAACTATAGTTATTATTATTATTATTATTATTAAATCTTTATTACATGTAATTGAAATGCAAATAGTCTTTAGAAGACAGTCTTTTTCATGGAGAAGAAATCTGATAGATGCATTAGTGTTGAGATAGGATAAGATAAGATAAGACCATTTATAAAGAATAAGACCAATTATTACTATAAGATAAGAGCCCACGGATGTGCGCTCTCGTAGTTGTGATTTCCTGACCGCGTGGTGACAGTCGTCAGTGAACAGCTCATCAGGGAGGCGTTGCTGTCAGGCATGCGCTGTCTGCACCGCGACATGGCGCTCATCGCGCCCGACCACGAGGAGATCGTCGGCTCAATGATCCGCGAGTTTGAGGTGAAGCTTGAGTCGCTGCAGCCCGTCGACGGGTGAGTCACAGCGGCCACGTGTGCCGGCCGCGCAGTGTGGTGAGGCAGGCAGGCAGGCATGCATGATCATCGCGATTATCTCTCTCTCTCTCTTTCTCTCTCTCTCTCTCTCTCATCTCTCTCTCTCTCTCTCTTCTTCTTTCTCTCTGTTCTTTCTCTTCCATCTTCTCTCTCTTCTTTCTCTCTCCTCTCTCTCTGCCATCTCTCTCTCTTCTCTCTCTGACTACTCACACTATCTCATTCTTTCTCTCCTCTCCTCTCTCTCTCTCTTTCTCTCTCTCTCTCTCTGCATGATGTCGATGTAAGCACTAGCGTTCCTGCCGAGGCGCCTGCTGCTCTGCCAACTGGAGAAATAATGCCCGAGCTTTGCTGCCTGTTCTTGTGGGCCGTGTTAGTGTGTATAGACTGACGAGATTGAGCTTGTGAGCCTTGCTAGGCGCGGATGGCAAGGTTTGTGCCCGCTGTTAGCCCTGGATTATGACCCGAGCTCTGCAGTCCCTGCGGGGGTGAGATTTAGGTGTTGTGTTAACTTAATATTATACGTATGCTCTCTTGCCTCAGGAGGGACGAGACTTAAGGGCTCCATTGAGACATTGAGGCATTTCCGTTGCAGAGGCTTTGGCACTCTATTGAGGCAGATCGGCTTCATGGGATTTGTTGAGGCATGAGCTCTGGGGCTCTGACGAGTAATATCGATTATTATGGATTATGTTGAGACATGTGAGGTCTACTACGAAGTTTGTCTAGCTCTGTTGTGGCACACAAGCTTTGTTGGCTTCTCTTAAATTCAGATCAAACTCATCTCGACCAATAGAAATGTCGTAGACAATGCCACAGGAACAAGAACTGTATCTCTCTATTATTTAACTTGCGACGTATTGTTTTAGCGGAGCCAATTTTGCAGTAGCAGCAGCACCATCAGCAGCCGGAACATCAACGTCGGCAATGCCGTCTCAGTTGGCTGGAGGCAACCTGGGAGGAGAGGTGAAGGCAGCTATGATGAGTAAGTTCAAAGACTTCAAGGACAAGTCTAGCGTGTTGCCGATCGCAAACATCTTCAAGAAGAAGTGAGAAGAAGAAGAAGAAGAAGACGTAGACATTGTGGCTCGTACGGAAAGATCTGACCGGGAGACAGTCGGCGCGGACAATGCCCGCTGGCCGCTGCGACCCAGCGCCGTCTGGCGTGACTTGTGCTGACCGACCAGGCGGAAACATTCCTAGACTCGCCTCGCAGCAGGCGGCGACCTCGCGTCGAGGCGCAGAGCAACGCACTCGCATTGCTGTTGAAATACTCAAGCCGGTCGTGCGGCAGGTTTCTCGGGCGGCATACGACGTTAGCGGCAATTTACTCACTTTGTGTTTGATTACTGACTTTCGTTGGAGGCTAAGCTTCATGGTCACAACCGTGGTGATATATCAGGGTGTTGTACTAACGAGGGAAGTCCACGTTGTGTTCATCGTAGGCGTGTAGTGCGCAATGTGCAATCTTAGGGAGGGGGGGGTCGATCGTGTTATTATGCCCTCAAAGTTGAAATTTATGTGCTTGCTTTTCTTAC